ATATATACTTTTGTTTCGGCCAAATATTCAGTAAAAAACAAACTCCTATACTAATATAAATAAGTCAAGTACTTATAATAATCCTAATTTAGTTTCTAACACATAAAAGCGAGTGAAACTCGAATATAAAGTAAATCATGTAGCACTGCAGCTAGCAAGAAAACGTAAATAGCACCGAAAAACAGCATCACTTCATCAGACTTTTGTAAGCAAATGCTTTAAAGGAGGTTAGGGATACTTTGTTAAAACTCTTATTAAACTTTTTACAGGTTTACACGGACATTACACCAAAGCGGCTAAAGTTACGGTTTGCTTTAACGTTCGGGACATTTTTGTTGATAAAAAAGCAGCCTGGTTTACACAAATTACATGTTAGCTTCGTGATCTAAAATAATAAAACATACAAAAACACAGGATAGTAAACGACTCTCCTCGTTAGTGTTGAGGTTTAAAATCCGTTAAACAATTTTCTTTAGTTTAAAACATCTAAAGTTAATTTCTTTACTCGAAATTACCGGCCTTTTCTACTCGAATTTATCGGCCTTTTCAGAAYTACTTTACATCATGTGAAAGTTACATTTCTGCTTAAGTCTTTACCTGCAGTTTTTCCCCAGCGTGATGTTCAAACTGCAGACATCAGAGGCGTCATGTACGATTGTGGCGACTTGAGGAACTTCCGCCTTGACTTTCAAAATAAAACCGGAAGTAGCGTTACATAGGCCAGATACAGTATATAAAATGTTTTTTAAAAATGATATTAAATCCAGTGGGGGGTGTACTCCTGCTTTTACAACTAAAACAAGCAAAATCTTTTCATAAATGAAAAGAGAGAAGTTTTTTAAAATAATGTACTTCTAAAGTGGCACAGGTTCTAACAGTTCCTAAAGCATCTTCAAATTTTAACTGGGAACCAAAATCCAACATGTCAAGCAATTTTTATTCCTATTCCTACAAAAAACGAGTTACGAGACAGCAGTTGAAACACTTGCATAGCAGCACTCCTCTTGTCCTTAAAAAAACGTGTTTAGTAATTTTCTTCAAATCCTAAACATTTTGAACATTCAAATATTTGTGGTATCTCGTTTTCAATGTATAAAAATGCTGGATATTTATGTTAATCTCATTTTAGGTTGATATGCATACAATAAGTTTTTAAGAAACAAAAAATTACCAAATCAGCCCCCAAGTATTTTCATAACCAGCCATAAAAACATTTGAGTCATGTGATTAAAACATTTCAACTAAAGGCATTTTGATCTTTGGCATTAATTAAAACTGAATACAGACAATAATAAATGATACTCTAACCATTGGAACATAATCAATCCTAAAATTATTTTAATAATTTAACTCAAATCAACCATAATTGTTGCACCTGAAGATATCAGTTGTATATTAAGGCAGTCAGGTGAATACAAAGACAACTGAAGACAGGCAAGCTTTTATTATTTAACAAAATGTACAACACATGAGTTTTAACGAACATTTTCTACATTGTATTACAAACTGAACTGAGGAAAAACAAAAATATCTATTCTAACAATCAAGAACGAGTGGTTGAAGTAATTTCCAAACTAATAAAATCAATAACTTATTCACTGTTCTGGGTAAAAACAAAATGCACTGGAGGGAAAAAAAAATCACAATACCCACAAAAAAATAAGTCACAGCTCAAAACACTGGCTTGTACACTGACATTGGTTCATTCATGTACATGTACACCACTGAAGTCGTATGGCCAATCAATGAAAGGATATTTCTCCTTTAAGCAAGGAACAGATCGATTTTCCTAGGACCGATTGGTCTTCCACAGAGCTCCTGGATTGCAGTTACAGCCTCCTGATAAGATTCAAATACCAAAGTAGCCGAACCTTTGGGTTTTCCAGTCGGTTCATACAGAATTTGAACAGATCCAGGAATGACACGGAACCCATGGCAGAAATCATAGATTTCTTCACATTTGATTGTAAATGGTAAGTTAATCATATGCACACATGTGGGACTCTCAAAATGCTGTGCAGGGGAACCAGATCTGTCATGAAAACCATTCCCCCTGTATTGTGGAGAACAAGATCTCATTGGACGAGGTTCATTGTCGGAACCTACGTGGAAGCGATCCCTCATATTAGTCATCGGCATGTTCCCATCCCAAGGAAAGCCTGCACTAGGGTAAGAAGTGTTACCAGGGGTATAAAACGGATTGCTGCTCCTGCCCGAGTAATGCTCCTCTCTTGGCAATGGTTCTCGCACCTGCTCTCTTGGCAATGGTTCTCGCACCTGCTCCCTTGGCAATGGTTCTCGCACCTGAAATGTTTCATCAGCCAACTGCTTCATCTGAGAACGTGTGATACAGTTCATCATAATTTTTGACCCAAAAAACGAACACCCATTGAGACAGAGTACCTCTGTAGCCTCGGCCTCAGACCCAAACGCAACCAAAGCCTGTCCAACCTTAGCACCAGTGTGGTCATGCAGAAGCTGAACTCTGTCCTCTGTGACATTAAACTCTTGAAAAAGGCGGGTTATCTCGTCTTTCCTCACATCAAATGGGAGGTTCCTCACAAACACACAAGATCTCTCCGAGTCATAACGATCCATGGGGTGAGATGGAGGTCGTTCCTGATTTTCGGACCTTTCAAAATCTCCAGAAGCTCTGACATTCTGATTTCCTGAATCCAAAAGCTTGATCATGTCTTCTCTGGAGATGGGACGTGCAGAAGTGTTTCGGTGCCACTTACGTCTATTTTCGGAGCTTAAGGCTTCGCAAAGGTCACGGATGCTCCTGAAGAGTACAAATGCAGATTTAGTTCTTCTCCCATAGCTATCACTTAAGAACAAGATCTGGTCATTGTCAAGCTTTACAAAAGGGAAAAGCTCTTTTATGTGTCCTATTTCGGCTGAAATGGACAGATTCTCCAACATCACACAGTATTCTCCATCAGATGTAGCATTATCCCTTTGGTACACAGGTGACCGTGACCGATCGCGTGGTGGATTTGTCCGGTTGTAACCGGGTGATCTCCATTGTTGAAAGTAGTCACCTTTGTTTATATTTTCCATTTTGTTGGTTTCCTCAACTTTGTTGGTATCCTCCACTTTGTCTGAAAACATTTGCATTTGCTCAACAGCACTATGCCAGTTGTGGGCATATGTTCTCAAAACCTCAATGAACCTGGTTCCAATGTATTGCCTATCTCTTTTTAAGGCCTGTACTGCATCCTGCCTTGTGAAAAATTTGACAAAGCCCATTCCATTCAATCGTCCACTTGGGTGTCTTAACAGCAGAACATCCTCAATGCTTAGACCATAAAAAAACTCATAAAGTTGCTCCTTAGTCACAGAATATGGCAGACCTTTGAGAAATACACCAAAAAAACCCTCTGTGGTTGAAGGGCTTTGATGCTGGGACTCATCAGGGGTATAACCAGATTGGCTGCTGGATCCTGTTCCCTCCTCTGGGTGCACACATCGTTGAGGTTGTCTACCTCGATCTTCAAATTCTCTTTTTGGATCCAGCACCATGTTTTCTGCCGCAGTTCTTTCCAGCAGTTTCTGCATCTCTGCTTTGCTGCTCAACAGCAATGTTATAGGAGAGTTCTTTATTAAGCCCCCTGACCGTGTCATGGCTCTTCTTGCATCTTCATCTGAAGCAAAAATAATGAAAGCTTCGTTTTGTTTCCCACCGATTATATGCACACCTCCGTCTGGGATTTTGAGGCCAGTGAAGAACCGGCGAATATCCCCAGAACCTGCCGTCCCACTTAGTCCCTGTAAACGGATGACGACTGCCATGCTGAAGCACAAACAACTCCACCTGTAGACAAAGGGGTACAGAATAACATTACTGCCCAAAAACACTCACCTGCTCTGCATCAATTTCCAGCCATACCAGTGTAACACCGAAAAAAGCAATACAAATAATAATAATAATAATAATAATAATAATAAAAAGCAGGAACGTTTCAAACTCTGAATAAAACACCCAACTTCCCAATTAAAATAGGCGACTATCGGTTGCAAATCATCATATTCCCAACCTCATGCTCCACTGTTCTAAACAAACATAACGAAAATCACCCTAATGTCCTTTAGCTATAAATTACTACAGTCCACTTAAACAAAACATATAAAAATGCTCCACCAATATACATCTATGTATTATACCAGAAAAAAAAACAAACAATTCAACTAAAGGAGCCAATCATGTGACAGTCTTGACATAATTATAAATCCAATCCTGGAATGTCATCTTGGAAAATCGGTTTCCAAAGACTCTTGTGTTGGCTTTATTAGCCGTTTTGAAACAGGTTGATTTTCCAATGAACCACGAGCATCCAAAAACCAAGACGACACCACAACTGTTGCCCTTTCGCAGCTTGTGAGATCCTCCACCTCAGGAAATACAAACCAATATTAACCATTCCTCTCATAGCCATCTTTTCAGTTTCTAAATTAAGCTTTTTCTGTATTGAAAATATTCCTAAACACAAACAGAATGAATTGTTTTCACAAACAGCCCAGCTCGCTCACAAAAACAGTACTGAAACCAAATTACAATAGACATGCACCAACCGTTGAAGCAAATGGCAACATCTGAGCCTTTTCAGCACAGACACGACCACAAATGTCTGACCAATTACACTAAGTTCTTATGTGGAGGGGGGTAAAAAGATCTCCCGACGGGTTGTGACAAGAAGGGGTAAAGACTTCAAGCAGCGAACAGGATGACAATGTTCGTCATGAAACTGCGCCAGATTTCAACAGTTCAGATGGACCAGAACATTGTCTGAAAAAATATACCATCTTAGGAACTTCAAGTGCTAAAAACTAAATAACAGGACAGCTTTGTTGTATACTTGCAATCCAAATACTTTTAATCTGTATTTCTTATTTTAACAGTAGAACTGAAAAACTAGAGATTTTTTTTGTAATGTTGCATTTTTCCAAGCCTTTGTTTTAACATAAATTTCCCCCGAGTGGTGAACTACAAAGCATGTTCAACCCATCTTGCTTTCCTTTATATTAGCTAGAGCAACTAAACAAACAACTCCACTCAGTGATTATGGTGGTTCCTACAACACTGGCTGTGATCTTTCTTTTGTAATTCAGGCTTTTCTCTTTAGGCTCTCTGCACACTCACAAAAAACTTGTCATTTTGTCATTTGATGGTTCTTCTGAACAAAATACACAGACTGGCCCGTCATCTCATTCTTTAGAGAATAATGCATGAATGGAGAAGTGTGATGAACACAGGAATTGTTTCAGGACAATGCTGCTAGACTGAGACAAGATAAACGCTGACAGAAGACTGTTTGCTACGGCATTTAGGCTATGGCAACTACAATTTAACTCTACACCTAAAGTTTGTTAAACTCCTACAGTATCGCGGGATGTGGGTGCAAATCTCTTGTATGACCAACAAAAAAATTACTATTGAAAACTGGGTTATGGTCAAAACAGATGTAAAAAAAATAAATAAATAAAATAAAAATCAGACTACGTACAGGGTTGCACATAAAATTTTTGGTCTGGTTCTCAGGAGAACCTGGGGTTGTTGCTTGGTGCTCATAGTTTCCTTAACTCATTTAACACCTTTATCTAGAGRGGCGTCAGGGCATTTAGTATCGCCCTGTTCTGTTTTATGACGCCTTCTATCAGCTGGCAATGTCTTGGGACATCATGCCAAATCAGAGTTTATTTAGTTTTTTTTTTACTCTGCATACATTTTGTAAACTACCTAAGTGGCCAATGGGCTGACCCATGGTCATATGTCATCTGAAACTGAACATTTCATGTTTAAATTTGTTAGATTACACATGACCCTGAGATGTACAGCTCCTGTAGTTTGGCCTTCTACATCTCTCCAGACCAAGCAGCAAATATCTGTCTTTTGCACAGAGCAAATGCTTCATTTGTTAGACAGATTTCTTTTTTAAAGACTATTTTATACAAAAGATTATATTTGGATGGTTTCAGCTCATGTAATCATTTAAAATTATATTTTATCATTTATTGAATTACATTTATCCCAGAGCAGCTGTGTCACAGTATGATTCTAAATATAAACATATCACATCAAGAAACTTGTTGTTGTCATAAAATTGTGAAGAATGAAATTTGTGATCTTTCTGATAAATTAAAATAACATTTAAAACTCATTCACCTAGAGAACATGGAGAGTTTTTATTTTTGGATGGGGTGGGGGACGTTAAACTCATCTTTGCTTTGATATAGTGCAAATAAATGTTCTTCTGTTAGAGGTAATATGTTTAGAAGAAGTCGAACAGTAAATCTCTCACAGAAAGACTCACAGCCTGCACGCGCTGAGGCGCCTTCCCGTCTCTCAGGAGAGTTAAGTGACTGACGCAAAGTTGGACAGATCTGTTCGATAACAACTCTCTGAACATATATTTAATTTAAAGTTAGATTTTACAGACCAAAGTCTCTGGTAGTTCAGGAGCAAAGTGCAGGAGATGATGTCAGGACTGATGGCTGCAGCTTCTGTCTCTGCTGAAAACTGCTCTGACTGAAAGTCCCGCCCTGCTCTGCTCTGATTGGATGAAACGGCTCTGGAGTTCATCTGATTCACTGAAAGCGGTGTCCGTTTCATCCTTATACATCAGGGTCACGCTGCCCTCCTCTCCAGTCACACCAGTGAGGCTGGATTTTTTGTTTTGTTTGTTTTTAAGAAATCAGGTCACATTTGCGACCCTGCTAGCTGTTGTTTTCACAATCTCAGGTACAATCTTAGGTACGCAAGTGAGCTTTATGACTTTCCATCTGGTGCGCTTTTTCGTTTTTGATTGCGCAGCGCTTATGTGCAACTCTGGTTATGTAGTTGAATGTGTTTGTGAAAATAATGTGAAAATAAAACCTGAAATCTACCGTTTAAGCTTTTTATCTCTCTCATTTTACTGAAGCAACCAGCCACATACATGATCTGATTTTATGTTATAAATAAGCTTTTTGATTGACTACTGGTAAAAATTTTTAGCTGGGTAAATTTGTAACTTTGAAATGTTGTTCTTATCTTGATCAGGTCTCCCAAATAGTGCATAATTAAATACTTACCAGGCCTGATGGGATAAGATTACAAGTCAGCTATTGTTCTGGGGCCACCTGTTTGTAAAACATCCTAATATGCTCTCTATGTGAAGTTAGTAAATTTAAAATGGATAAATGTAGTATAAAAATATTGTTACTATGCCCATGTTTAGTTGACCTGATACAAATGTTTATCATCCAAAAATAGTTGGGGGCTCAGGTCTTTGTGGGT